TGGGCATTTGCATAGTGAAGGTGCCGCTAGAGTGGTGTATTTTGAGGTAACGTGGACTTGACGACGCAGTAACGCGGTGGCAGCGGAAGCAATTGGCAGCGACATTTATTGAAAAATAAGTGAGAGGATGTTGTGGTAGGTGGTCGCAACAAGAGAGTGATGTCGGTCACTTTGCTGACGACTGGGGACGACTACTTTCTCGTCGAAAAGGGACGTAATTCTATACGGCCTTCTTGAGTGTGCCGTACAACTTCACTTAAGGTCAGTGGTCAGTGGTCAGTCAGTGGACGACTCAGACTCCCTTCACACCTGTGTGCACCCACGCATTTCTTGACCCTTTTGCTTTGAATGTTCAGGAGAAAAGGTTGAGTGGGATTGTGGGCGTCATGCATGAGTGAGAAGGTGGGTCTGACGTGAGTAATGGGACTTTGCTCGTCTTCTTTTGATTGTGTTGTCTGTGTGTTGTACAGGTAGGTAGAAGGGTGCTTGCAAAGGAGATTGATCATGCCTATTTGAGGAAAGGAAAAATTATTATCTTCTTTTTTTTTACTTCTCACCTGGCTGAACGTCAAAAAGGTTTCCTTGTTTTGAAATTTTTAATAATGCAGTGTCAGTACTGTAAAAACGAATTCGATTGAAAGAAAATAGATAAGGTCAAATCGGAATTGGTCCTTTTCCCAAAGATTGACCCATTCTATCTCGAACGACCTTACCTGTCCAAATGTTTTCTCTTTTTATCACCTCTATCTCTTTTTCGTCTAAGGTACCCTGAACTTACGAAAAAGAAAATGGGAATAGTTAAAACCTGCTTGCGGTGAACATATGCTCATCTTTCAAGGAAGCATCTGGGGCGGGGGTTCGTTGCTTTAGGAGCCGACCCTATTATCGACCCAGAGTGGACCGTGCTACGGGGGGGTACTTTGCCGATTTGGTGGAGACGGCCCGACTTCTGAGATCCGAGTCTTGTGCTCGGGCGAGGAGGAGTACCCCAGACCACTTCCTAAAGGGAGAGACATGCAACACCTCACGCAATGCCCCTGATCAAGAATCATCTACAAAACAACCGTCATCCAAGAAGATTGAGAACGTATGAAGACGAGTGTGTGCGTGTTCAATCTTAGGTCGGCAGTAGGACATAATGAATAACTTTGGCAGCGCATCTCATCAAGTCAAAACTAAGGCAAACGATTACCTTATCAGCTGCCTCAATGTTATTGTTGGTAGCCAACTTCTTGTTGGCGGTTGTATGGCTGTTTTGTGATATTCGACCTGAGGCGGTCGGATTGTTTTTGATCTTGTGTTGTTAAATGTATCAAATGACGATTTGGATTCTCCCAGTTATTGATCTGCATTGGATGTATATTCTTATCAGCTGTGGTCAACTCTTTTTGGTGTAATTATGTATGGTTGTTATAAATTTTGTTTGACTATGTGTCTAAGGGACTAGGATAAATAATTGGGTTTCACGCTTGGTTGAGACCGCCCTAGTCGACCGGCGTACGCTTTGTACTTAGGAGATCAGCGCCATAAGGAACGGACGACGTCCGGGTTCAATAGGCGTTTTAATCGTGAGTACCTATACTACAGCGAGCGAGCAAACGCCCTCGACCGACCCACCTCTGCATTTGCATTTTAAAGCTTTCGCACGTGGGTCGGTAACTCGGTAGGGATATGCCCCTAAGGGTGGTGACAGCCCCTTAGGGAAGCAAGCTTATGCCCCGCGGGAACCTGTCCTGTCATAGGGGACCGCGGGATGTACGGCTGGCGCACCCGGCTAGAGCGGTGAAGGGACGACGCGACCGCGACCGTCTCGGTGGTCAGCGGGATTAATTATGCGTCTTCCCCAAGTTGTCTCCGTGTTTTGTTTTATTGTGTAACTCCTGCGTGACATGGCCGGGAGGGCCCTCGCTCGCGCGGGGGCCTATGCGCTCGACAACGTAACACCAAAAAAACACGTGGCAATCAGGGAAGAAGATGCCAGATGGTCGCCACGGTATTCTCTTGGCGATCGGACAACTGATTTATCTTAGCCCCTCCGTCGGGGAACAGTAGTAAAATGGGTACGAAACAGGTGATGGTTAACATACACGGACAACTCTATGAACTACATGTGCCCCAATACGTGCCCGACGAAACTCATCGACTATATCCTAACTGAATATCAAGGGGCAATTAGCATCGAGGACACAAATATTGGACTGTCGTTAGTTATTCAGCAGATTCATTCCGATTTTTCTCATCCTATCGATGGAAGTAGCCGGTCTCTATCTCTCTGCGCGCATGGCTGGAAAGCAAGCTATATTTCCATGTTCTAGTGGAAGGTTCATTCCGATTCTGCTCATCCTATCGATGGAAGTACCCTCTCTCTATCTCTCTGCATG